ATTGGAGAAAATATTCACTAGTTATGGCTCTTAACTACTTTAAAAAATAAGTGTGTAATTATGAACGGTATCATAAACCAAAGTTCATTATCAAAAAGTACATTCTATTCTGGTCTTTTAAATCCCAACCTTCAACTCTAATTCTTGTAAACTACTGAAAACATCTGGTCTAACGACGGAGTGTTTCCTACAATAACAATTCAGCCCTGTGTTTCTTTATTCTTTTTTCCCACTTCCACATGGGCTCCAAGAAGGGATGGGTTTGGTCGGTCTTGTTAACCTAGAACAGTCTCTGGAGCATCACGCTGCCCATTAAATCAGCCAATAAGTAAATAACATCGGTCTCCTAGAATCAGATCCTACGTATTACTCAAAACATTTATGAAGATGCTTATTTGTTATTTAAGAAAAGATATCCTGACAAAAATGCCAATACATAAAATGTCTTTACTTCTCATTTATGCTTCTTGCTTGCTAGGTATTATGCCACATGAAATTAGTGTTTCTAATTATCTAACCTGTCTTATTCACCAGTTTAAAAACAAACAAACAAACAAAACTATATTCTACCATAAGGCAGAAACGGCTTTTTGCTAAATCATTTGTTAAAAACAAGAGAACAGGCTCAAAATGGAGGCACTCATGCTAAGCTCCACATCACTAAACAGAGACTTAATTACACTTTTGGCTTCTTCCAGGAATGGAATCTTAAAGTCAGTCAGGAACTGCCTTATTAGCACTAGTGAGGTCATCTGCCTGATAGACCACTGCCATGCTCTAAAGGAAAGTTATCTATCTTGCCACAGCCAATCCACTTTTTGCCAGGATAACTTCCTCTCCCCCACTCCCTTCTGCCTACGGAAGTCTTTCATTTAGTACACCTTTTTGAAGCTCTTTTCTGTTAGATTGGATGCTATAGAGTCATGAATCATTAAATAAAGCCCATAAGATCTTTAAAATTTACTCATTGAATTTTGTTTTTTAATACATTGAATTTCTTCAGTTATTTAGCTATCTGGAATGAAACTTCTTTTTCTCAGTGGCTGAACTGCAATTTGTACCTTACTGTGTAGTTTGAGGGGGTCTTATCAGATTAGACAAATATACAGCAAATGATAAATAAATCTATAAGCAGGTCCATGAGCATGAATATTTTGGGGGAATAATTTAGCCACTATGACTAAAAATACAAAAACAAAGATAGAAGATAGAGGGCATGAAAATCTGTTATAGGACAGTTGCTTATATCCAAACTTTGTCTTTTAATAAATGGCAAATATTTTGCCTAAAAAGGTGATTTGATGAAGTTGAAACATTCATTTGTAAGTATTTAAACTCATTCTAGACCATCCAATTTAGATAACAGTAAAATATTAATATCAAATCTGTGCATTAAAGGAAATCCCCCCAACTGATGTCCTCTAACACAAGTTTAATACAAACATGACTTGTGGGTTTTCTGTAGGTGAGTCTCTGTTCCATTTTGCACCTTATTTCTCAACTCATTGATCACACTGAATTATTCAGAGCTAAACATCTTTTTCCTTAGTCCTGCTTCTTGTTAGGTGTTGATTAAGACCTACATTGTTCCTTTTCAAGTTGTAATGCATGAAGTGGAAATTTTAAATACTAAACAAGTTCAACCTGCTCTACAACTGCTCCAATTCCAGACTTGAACTTAGAAAAAGTTGTGTTACAAGAAACATGATCTGCCTATATTTTCAAAAGCATTAACATTTGTCTCCTTGGGTTTTTAACTCCTCTCATATTCAGCCAAAAAGAGAGAGAGACGCACTTAAGCTACATTTGCAAGTGCCATATCTGACCATTCTTTTCATAACTGAGTGGTTTTTTCAAGTCTTGCCTTCCCTTTTCTATAAATCCTGACTCCACCTTCTTTCTACTATAGAAAGCCACTAAAAGGCTTGGAACAAAGATAAATCTTTGAATAGTTTGCTAAATAACCCCCCCCCCCCCCACACACACACTTCTTCAGATCCCACAGCTATCAAATCTTTCTTGATTCCATCTTGAGAAGTGAAATAAATAGAAATACATGCAGGATTAACTTGGGTTACTTTTAGAAGTAAGTTCATTTCCATCTCACCCAGATACGAATCAAAAATATTACATCTTCCTTTCTATTCTTCTTCATTCACCACTAAAGCTAACACTCCTAAGAAAGGGGAGTAATAAGGAAGGGCAGGAATTTCGGACATATTAGGAATATTGATTAATTCTATTCCTTTTGGTAAGACAACTCCCTGACTGAACAGAGCACTGGTCGGGGGGATAGCAGGATATGCATATTTTTCAAGCTAAGCCCTTTCAAGGACAGATCCCAAGGTGAGCAGTACTAGGGGTTTCTCGGCAACCTGAAAGGATTTATGAATGATTGTGAAAGATTGCCCCTCCTCCAGCTGCACTTAGGGGCTGCTCTAAAACGGTAAAGCCCAGCCTGGGAAATTCATGTCACATCCTGTACCCCTGGGTAAGAAGTGGTGAAATACACACACAGACACACACACCCCAGAGGGTGAGAAGGGGTGAAATACACGCACTCGCACACACTCGCGCTCACACCTCACCCTACCCCACCAAAAGCCCTGCGGGGAAGCTCTCAGGAAAGCAGGCTCTGGCTCGGTGAGGCGCAGTCAGCATCCCTGTCTCCCAGCCCAAGTGAGAGGCTCGCCTCCACCTCGGAGCTAGAGCTCCCGGGTCTTTAACATTCTAGGCTTTTCCTTACAAAAGTAGAAAGGTCCATGCTGGCCTTACCTCTGGGGCTGCTTTCCTGCAAGTACGGCGGGGCCGTAGGGGTGACATTTCCCGAATGGGATGCTGACAGCAGAGGCGAGCGCTCGTCCACCCCATCAGCAGCCATGACTGCTGCAGCAGCCGCGGGGTCGCCGGGGAGGCTGAGCCGGGGCTTGCGGCTCCCGCGGAGGTGGAGGCCAGCGCTGTTCCGCAGCTGCTGCCGCCTCGGGAAGGACCCGGGATGTGTCACAAGGCCGGAGGCTGGGGGAGGGGAGGGTGCGGGATCGGCGGGCGGGGGAAGGGCGGCGCGCTGGGAAGCCTGTCTGGGGGAGGGGAGGGGAGCGGGGAGGCTGGGAGAAGGCGAGGAGGAGGAGCCGGGGAACACAGTAGGGCTGCTCGGGAAAGGCGGGGAACGGAAGGTGCGGAGTAACAGAAAGAGGGGCGGAGGAGGCGAGAGGAAGGGGTTGCAACTCTTCCCCTCTTTGTACTTTACATTTCCTTAACTAAGGAGAAAAGGGGGAAGAACGGTAAAGAGCAACCTGAAAGGAGGTAAGAGAAAAGGCCTGTGACTTGATTACAGAAAAACTACAGCAAACACAGATCTCAAGTTTAGCTCCTGGGGCGGGGGAGGAGGAGGGATTCTGTGCTGTCCAACTTTGCAGCAATTATCGAAGAAAGCTGATTCCCAGGGTTAGCAATTCCTTCTTGGGGGCTGCTGCTTTTGTTAGAAAATCACTTCTCAACATCTGTTGTCTGAGAGGAGATACATTTCTGCAAGAGCGGTGCCATTCCTTGCTTGTCCTTGTTTTTTAGTAGGTGTTTGGCATGCTAGTAACAGTACCTTATTGAAACGATGCAGAGTTTGTTGGCTTTTACAAGGTTAATTTGACAAAATTTTAGTTTTGTTTTGGACTATACTGTCCCTGACACCTTATACAAAAATGAAGTTTATGAATGATGTAAGACAATTAAAAAATATTTTCTTTAGCTAGTGTTTTAAAATAATATTTCGCATGTAAAAGAGAGTAAAAAACAAAAAAAAGCTAGTTACCGGCAACTTTTCATGTTTATGTTTTTCTTTTCTTATTTTGGTGGTTTGCTAAAACGGTTTAGAAATCAAAGTTTTGAATATGCCTGACAAAAAAGGCAATAGGAAAACAGTGAAGGTCTCAAAAGATCATTCTTCTTCAATGATTTTTGAGTCATTCAACAAACAGGTATGGTGTGCTTACTGGGTATACAAAGATGAATCAGTAGAGCAATGGTCTTGATCCTCCAGATGTCTGTGTGGTAGCACAGTCAAAAGCAAACAAAAAATGAGGCTGGTAGTCCCAGCTGTAGGTTTTAAAGGGTCATGAGGAAAGCTGACTTTAGACATTTGAAACTACTTCTCATATTACATTAAGAAGGGTCTTCATTTTGCTTTCTGAAGATACTCTTTCTTCCAAAAACAAAACAAAACAAAACAAAAAAACCATTTAGGCATCAGCTGGAAATCCTAAGAGAAAATCAAAGAATAATGTTTTCTATTATGCAGCATCTTTTATGGGTCAGGAGTATCAAGACCCAACACCATATAAGGATCCCCATATGATATAATCCAAGGGCATTTATAGATCTCCAGAAACCTGAAAAGTGAGGGGTCAAGATATAGCACTCCCTGCAAAAAATGAACAATTTACAAAATGAATAGCAGGTTTTTTGGTTTGGTTTTGTTTTTGTTTTTTACATTTGCAGCCTGGAAGCTATTGAGTTAGAGAAACTTGAGAAGAATCAGCAAAATCCTATGACTATGGTGTCCTGTCCTGTCACCTATCACACTATTTTAACAGTGCATTTACATTTCCATTATCCACCTGCCCTTTATTCCCAACTGACTTTGTGAGTCAGAAACTGTAACTAACTCATTCACTATTGTGTCTCCAGTATCTAACGCAATGCCTGGCAAATTAAGAAGGATTGGATAAATATTTGCCAAATAAATAAGCAAAGGAGTGTATGAGGAAATCCTACACAGTACCAGAATCTTACTAAAGCAAATTGTTAGCAGGAAAAGCGTTGAGCATGTCTTGATTTTTTTATGAAGATGACAGTTTTGCCATCTGACCAGTGTTTTTATTGTTCCATTATTTCTCTACAACTAGGGTTTCTTTATTGCCCAGGTATAAAGGACTTTTTTTTTCTTTCTTTAGTTCTTTATATGGCTTCTCTATCCATTTCAGAACTCATTAGAGGGTGACACAGCTAATGGAAATTACTCACACTATGAAAGGTAGAAGGTATATTGAGATTATATTTGCAGCAATCCGAAATTTCATAAAAAGGAAAAACTTCTACTAGGTGAGTATCACTTCATTCTAGCTTTAAAATTCTACAATAGTTTATGGTTACTCAATAAACATTAAATAATACTCATCTCGATCCAAGGCATTTTATGATTATGATATGTTTCCATCTCTACTCAGGGGATGAGGTAATGTGTCTTCTGGAATAATAGTACAATATAAACAGATGATGTGTGAGCTAGTAAAAGCTACATCTTACTACTTGAGCTACTTAAGCTACAATTCTAGCTATCTACTACTGAGCCATACCACAACCCAGTGGCTTAACACAACATGATTTGTTATTTTTCATGATTCTATAGATTAGTTGTGTGGCTATTCTATCTTTCTTGCCTGGGCTTACATTCAGGAAGCTTCATTCAGCTGGCAGATTGGCTAGGGGCTCGCTCAGCAGGGACGGCTTGGAAAGGGAGGGGAGGGGAGGCGGGGAGAAGGCAGGAGGGTTCTCTCTCCATCTCTCCATATAGTCTTCCATTCCAGGCTTCTTCACATGCCTGGTAGTCTCTGAGCAGTGTTTGAAGAGGGTGAGAGGGTGATTGTGGAAGCTATGTTACCTTTTCAGATCTAGGCTCCAGGTCTCAAGCAATGTCCCTCCCATATTCTCCTTCGGCCTGCCTCCTGCTTTCTACCCAAAGAAAGTTAGGTTCAGAGGCCTCTTTTCATGGTCGATTTCCATTGTGATACTCAATCATTGTAAAGATTTAAGCAACGTCCTTATTCCCACTTTATAAGCCATCTAATAACATCATGCCTCTGAGCTTCATCTCAGTGTTGGATTTGAAGACTCCCAGTCGTGAACTATTCTTTTTCTTTTTCTTTTTTTTTTAAAGATTTATTTATTTATTTGGGGCTGGGAAGCAGAGGAAGAGGGAGAGAAATCCTCAAGCGGACTCCCTGCCTAGCGCAGAGCCTGCCCCGGGCTGGATCCCAGGACTCTAAGATCAAGACCTAAGCCAAAACCAAGACTTGGGCGCTTAAGAGACTGAGCCACCCAGGAACCCCATTCATGAACTATTCTTTTGTGTACAATAAACTCTAAATACTATTCTACTGATCTTGTTTTAATTTTTACTGTCTCAGGGTTTTGACAGAACTATAAAATAATACATTTATGCTGTTTAAACTGCTGAGTTTGTTTTAATTTTTTATGGCAGCAATAGAAAAATGCCACCTCCCATCAAAGACAGCTAAAAGAAGCTAATTGTTACTTTCTATATTCTACAAGGAAATTATGTTAGTGAGATCAACAGGTTCATTATGTACATTCACTACCTTCCAAAGTACCACAGGCAACAGTTAATTGGTCCGCCTCTGTCCTCTGGTCTCCAGGAGCAATTTCCATCCTGCTTTCCTAGCTTGCACCAACAGTCTCCTCTCTACCCTTTCCAGCATTCACCTGCTGCCTGGCCCTGAAGACTGCCATGTGCTTTGGGTTTTGTTAGAACAATACTAATTTCTGTTACATTCATCTCTTGCTTTATACTTTACCAATTTCTGTCAGATTAATCTATTATTTTGTACTTCTGGTCCCACTTTGTCTGGTTTATCTATTGCTTTGGAAGAACCACCATCCTAAGACTTAGGGATTAAAATAACAATATTTTTCAGAAAGATGCATTCATCTGGTGGCTCAGCTGCGGACTGAGCTCAGCTGAGAAAGCTGGGTTGCTTGAACCTCTCTCTCCAAACTCACTTTCATCCTGGGCTACTTTATGGCCTGGCAGTCTCAGAATAGCGTTCCCCAGAGGGCAAAGGTAGATGCTGCCAAGGCTTCAGGAGTCCCAAGTTTTGGAACAGGTACAGGGTTACTTCTACCACTTTCTATTGGCTGAGAAGGACAAAGGAGAGTTCTTCAAGAAACACCATGCTTTGGGGAAGAAGTTCAAATTGGAATTTGAAAGTCCTTCTAAGAAGTATATTTTATGAATATCTATGTGATGTAAAGTATGTTCATATTAAATATTTATTGTAAGGGTTATAACTGCTTTTCTCAGTGCATACCAGAATGGTTCCTCCACTCTGTCCCCTTGATCTCTCAGTCTTTCTCCTCTGTGCTGGGGTAGCCCACACTTGGAAATCAATTATATTTGAATATTATTCTATATAATTTGAATTCAGTACCTCTAAGTGGTAATCTTGGTTAAGTTAGCTTAACTTCTCTATACCTCATTTGTCTAATTAGTCTGTAGAACAAAGAAAATAATACCTACCTTGTGGGGTATTTATGATAATTAAAAGAGAAAATGTATGGAATATAATTATCAGTGCCTGGCAGCTATAAATATAAGCTTTTTTACCACTCTCCCTTTTTAACTCTAGAAGGGAAACCAGGGGATAAGCATGACTGGACTAAGCTAAAAGTACAATGGTCTGCAGTACGTTTGTGTGTGTGTGTGTGTGTGTATTTTTTTTAAGGAAGCTCTAAGCCCAATGTGGGTCTTGAACTCATGACCCCAAGATCAAGAGTCACACACTCTACCGCCTGAACCAGCCAGGCACCCCTGGAGTATGTTTATATTTTTAATTCACTAATTCATTTACCTTACCTTGCAATTATATAGGGTAGCATCTCTGTGTGTAGTCTGCATGCTTAATGCAAGAATTTTGGAGCATCTTAGCAAGCCTGAGGAGGTTGTATTTAAGCACAAATTTTCCCAGGTCTTTTGGAAATGCCTATTAAAAAACTTTGAGGAACACCGTCAGGTCCAAGGGAACAGGGATTTAGATTTCACATATAGAATGTAACATGAATGCTCCTTAATTATTGCATGCCTTGGGAAAGCAAGAAACTGGTTGTCAGGTGAGGGAAGCTTGCAGGATGGGTACTCTGCTATGCCTAGGGTAAAGAGCTTTACCTTCACCTCCAAGGGTTTTTGTTTACTTCTCCAGCAAAGTTATAACTGAAAGAACAAGGCCATGTTCTGGAGTTGTAAAAGGTGCAACATTTTGCAAAAACAATTGAGAAGGGTTACAGGCTTGACTGCAGTTACAGAAGAATTTGTTTTCAATTAATTAATCCTAGATCACCTGTCAATGTCTCAGTTTCATCAGCAAGATGGGGGATAGCTGTCCTACATCTCATAGGATGCTAATAAGTGTAAAGTAAGACATAAGCTCTAGAAGAGCCCTCCAAAAGAGAAGAGTTAAATGCAAAGTTCTGTAGAGGATATGTGACTTGAACTTGGGTCAAACGTTCCCTGTTGACCCAAAACTGATAGCCAGGGTCCAAGCTGAGGACAAAGAAGCAGTCAGTACTTGCAGATGCTAAATCAGCCACACCGGTCCCTCAATAACCACAATGACCCTGAATCCATATGAGCCAGAGAAGGAAGAGGAAAATGGGAATTACTGGAGTCATAAATTGTTGGCCTGAGAAGTTCTGCTGTGGCTTTTTCCTAACCTTTTCCAAAATGCCAAGTGAGAAGGGCCCCAAGAGAATTACTTGCAAAGTCTGGGGGTACCTGCATGAAAGGAAAACCAGCACCTCATTTTCTAGCTGTACATCAAATTAGGACACAGGCTAGCCCATCTTCCTAAAGTCTGTCTGAACAGGAAAAAAGAATTGGTGAATGAAGGCAAGACAAACAGGCTTATGGTGTAGCTCAACAATCACCTCTGCTTTGATGAGAACATGAGTTTCTGGTGGGCCAAGTGAGCACCACAGAACTAGCTGGGCTTGGGCCAGCATGCGGCACCACCACACAAAAAATAACTACAAGGCAAAAAAATCCCCCAGTGACAAGAGCCCATGGGTCTACCACTGAGTGCAAGAGCTGAGGAGAGTCGGAAGAATTGAAACAGGACACTGTGGACCAGGAAGGTCCCTAAAGAACTCACACGAGGGGCGCCTGGCTGGCTCAGTCAGTGGAGCATGAAACTCTTGATCTTGGGGTTGTGAGTTCGAACCCCATGTTGGGTGTAGAAATTACTTTAAAAATAAAGTCTTCTTAAAAAAAAAGAACTCACATGTGTGCCTCCTCTGGAAATCCAGTATCTGAAAACCTGCCATGGCGAGACTACTGTCAATGGCCAGGTAGTGTGGGTCCAACAGTTAGTGCTAAACAGCCCAAGGAAGACTACAATGATGGCCGCTTGAATCCCTCTAACTCCGCCCTATGTCCACTCCCTGGAGAAGCTTGCAACCGAAAAGGAAGGAAGGACCTGAAGCCCAGAGGTAAACTGCTTTCTTTCACCTAAGGTAGAAAAATGAGAACGAAGAGAAGCCCATATTCCCTCCCATTTTAGGTCCTTCAAACCACAATGCTAGGGGCTCCTGGGTGGCTCAGTCGGTTAAGCGTCTGCCTTCGGCTCAGGTCATGGGCCCAGGTCATCGAGCCCCGCATCGGGCTCCCTGCTTCGCGGGAAGCCTGCTTCCCCCTCTCCCACTCCCCCTGCTTGTGTTCCCTCTTGCTGTCTCTCTCTCTGTCAAATAAATAAATAAATAATCTTAAAAAAAAAAACACAATGCTAGCAGATGACAGAAAAAGGAAATCTTTTATTTGGATATGAAATTAGAGTTATAGACTGAATGGATTTTTAATCACTGAAATTGACCAGGAAGTTACAGAATCTACCCAAGAGGTGATAAGATATGTTATGGGAGGCAAGGGGGAATTTTAAATGGCCATGTTAGGGACAGCATTTAGAGGAAACTATAACTGTTTCTTAATTTGTACCTCATTGAGTTAAGTTGGTTTAATAACTTGGATGGATGGAAGATTAGATAGATAGATATAGATAGATAGATAGATAGATAGATAGATAGATAGATAGATAGATAGATAGAATGGAAAAATATATGACTGCTGCCCCAACTTCAAGCTTTCCTTGATTAAAACATTTTTGACTAAGAAATACAAGTATCTGGTACTAAATGCTGGGGCTACAAAGATGAGATAGGGCATTTAAGGGGTAATTAAGGTTAAATAAGGTCATAACAATGGTGCCTTAATCCAATAGGATTGATATCTATAGAAAAGGGGACACCAGAGAGCTTGGGCTCACTCGCATATGCATGCTCTCTCTCAGCCTCTCTCTTCCCGATGAATCTGCACTGAGGAAAGCCCAGCTGAGGACACAGCAAGGAGGCAGCCATCTGCAAGCCCGAAAGAGTCCTCACCAGAAATTGAGCCCTGTTGGACCTTGACCTTGGACTTCCATCTTTCAGAACTGTGAGAAAATTAATTTCTGCTGTTTAAACCAAGCAGTCTGTGTCATTTTCTTATGGCTACTCCAGCAGACAAATACAGTCTGCAAAGAATAGATGGCTTTTTAAAAATCCTTTTAGCCCTTGGAGACACCCATGTTCACAGAAAAACCTCTTCGAGACCAGAGAAGCAGTTGATAAATGTAAAACACATTTTATGATGAGAAACTTCCCATTCCTATGGTTTCAGAAACCAGTTGGGTAAGAAAAATAACTGTTACCTCTTTAGAAATTGGTATTCCCAGAGTTTCCTCCTATGAAATACAAAACCACATTCTAGTTTTATTTTCCGCACATCTAGGCTTTTGATTCTGTCTTACCTGTCTGACCCTTCACTGCATCATCCGAGTTTACGTAACCAGTCCTCTATTTTTTTTGATGTTTCAGGATTTTTGCAGTATTTTATTCATTCATTCAACAAGTATTTATTGAATGCCTTTATGTGTCAGGCACTGTTCTAGGGGTTACAAAACCCCTTACCTCATTACGATAGAAGACAGGTAACACTCAGTCGAGAGAGGACATATAATGCATCAGATGGTGATAAATGTTATGGGGAGAAATCAAGCAGGGTAAGGAGAAATAGGAGAGAAAGGTGGAGAGGGCACGTTGCCTTTTCGCATGGAGGAACTAGGTAGGCTTCCCTGATACCTGAGCAGAGATGTGGACAGTGAACGGCAGGGAAGCCTGTGCAGCCTTGAGCAAAGGGAGCTGGGGAGTGGGGGTGGGGAGGGGGAGTAAAAGATGAGATCAGAGAAGTTTGCCATCGACCTGGGTGGGGCAGATCGTAGGCAGCCCGTCTGGCTTTTCCTCTGAGACAAAACTGGAGCTCTTGGAGGCCTAGGATAGAGGAGGACTTGATACGACATAGGTTTTAAAAGGATCACAATGGCTACTTGTGTTAAAATTAGACTATAGGTGGGGCGCCTGGGTGGCTCAATCGGTTAAGCGGCAGCCTTCGGCTCAGGTCATGATCCCAGGATCCTGGGATCGAGCCCCGCATCGAGCCCCGCATCGAGCCCCCTGCTCGGCGGGAAGCCTGCTTTTCCATCTCCCACTCCCCCTACTTGTGTTCCCTCTCTCCTGTCTCTCTCTCTCTCTCTCAGTCAGATAAATAAATAAAATCTTTAAAATAAATAAATAAAAATAAAAAAATAAAATTAGACTATAGGTAAAAAAAATAAAATAAAATTAGACTATAGGTAAGAAAGAAGGAATAAAGGTGGAAAGAAGGGGTCAGATTCTGGATATATTGTGAAAGTCAATCTAAAGGATTTCCTGATGGATTTCATGCAGTGTATGAAAGACAGAAGTCGGGGATGACTTCAGTCAATCTTTGAACACTTTTCTGATATCTATTCCTGATAAATTTTTTGAATGGGAAAGCTAGATCAGAGACCATGCACATGTAAAAATCTTGGGGTGTGTATTGTCAGTTGCCTTCTAGGACTTGAGAATCATTTTTTACCCCTGCTTATGGTGACTGGGACGCTCCATTTTTCAGCAGCTTAGGAAAATAAATGGACTATTATTTTTAATATGGATAGTTTAATATGAAAGGCAGATTTTTTTGGTAACTTATTTAACTTTATGCTTAATGATTATTGAATATTTTTATTAATCCTTGGTATTGGCCATTTTTCCACTGGAGAGTTCATCTTTTTTATTACCACTTAAAAATTTCATTTATGAGTTTAATTTAAAATTTTATTGATTGATCAAACCCATTCTGTTTTCCTCCTAAAAACCGAGCTAAGTTACATTTCCCAGCCATCCTTGCACTTAAGGAGAGTTGTATGTCCAAATTCTGGCCAATGGAAGGTTCATAGAAGTGATACAGACTACTTTTAGGCTGGCCCATAAAAACCTCCCTTTCATGATCCTCCAAAGCTCTTTTCCTCTCTAAGATAGATGGCAGGAAATGACCCTCAAGGAGACCGTGGGAGTCACATGTTGAAAATGGTACAAGAAGGAAGTATCTTGAGACACTAAATCACTTACATACAGGAGAGCTGCCCAAGAACAATGGTTTTTGAAGTGTTTTGTGAGAAAGAAAGATGCTTTATTGTGTTAAAAGCCACTGAAATTTCAGAGTTTATTTATTACAGCAGAGGTGTTCTCCCTTACAAAGAAATATATAGAAAGAGTTATAAAGAATTTATTTATCTTCATATAGCAAATATACTTATCTTTTGCCTGTGTGGAGAAATGTAAAACTTTATTTTCTGAATGTACACTGACCCTGATGCTCCCTGGTACTAAGAGACTAATCCATTCCTTTCAATTCCTTTTTTGAGTTACAGTTCTAAGAACAGGATGTAATGAACTAAAACAGGCCAAATCTCTCTCCCCCTCTCTCTCTCTCCCCATCTCCCCATTCCTTTCTCTCTCTCTCTCCCCACTCTTCCCAATCTCTCTCTCTCCACCCCCCCCTCGCCACCCCTACAGTTTTGGAAAGAAAGGGTCAGATTCTGGATATATTGTGAAGGTCAACCAATTCCTGATGGATTTCATGCAGTGTATGAGAGACAAAAGTCGAGGATGACTTCAGTCAATCTTTGAACACTTTTCTGATATTTATTCCTGATAAATTTTTTGAATGGGAAGGCTAGATCAGAGACCATGCACGTGTAAAAATCTTGCGGCGTGTATTGTCAGTTGCCCTCTAGGACTTGAGAACCATTTTTTACCCCCACTTGTGGTGACTGGGACTCTCCCTTTCTCAGCAGCTTCGCATTGCAGCACCTGCCTGATTAGTCACCAAACTTTTAATTGACACTCTGCCACTTTTGTATCTTTGCTATATACAATTCCTCTTGTTTCCCATTTTCCAGGAAACACTCCCTTTGGATATTCTCTCTATTACAACAGCTTGAATAAAGTACCTATCCCCTTGATTCTCAGTCAGCTTTTGAAAGTTCAACACATATAATAAATAAGGCAAATGTTTTTCTTAGTTTATTGTCTATCGATTTTGTCTGTGTTGAAAATATTTTTTTAAGATTTTATTCATTTATCTGACAGAGAGCACAAGCAGAGGGAGCAGCAGAGGGAGAGGGAGAAACAGGCTCTCCACTGAGCAGAGAGCCCGACATGGGGCCCGATCCCAGGGTCCCAGGATTATGACCAGAGCTGAAGGCAGACCCCCAACCAACTGAGCCACCCAGGCACCCCTGTATTGAAAGTATTTTTAATGATTGCCTATTTTTCAATATATGCTATTTCTGTATATGATCTTCCTTTATATGCTCTGTAATTTATAGCCCATGAAATATCAAACTGTATTCTTTTGCTGATAGAACCCCATCCTCATTCTTTCTCATTTCGTGTTAAACCTAGAATACATGAGGACGCCTGGGTGGCTCAGTTGGTTAAGCGACTGCCTTCAGCTCAGGTCATGATCCTGGAGTCCCTGGGTCGAGTCCCGCATCGGGCTCCCTGCTTGGCGGAGAGTCTGCTTCTCCCTCTGACCCTCCCCCCTCTCATGTCCTCTCTCTCATTCTCTCTCTCTCAAATAAATAAATAAATAAATAAATAAATAAATAAATAGAAAAAAAAAAACCTAGAATACATGATACATGGGTTAGCAGAGTACCATTTCCTGCCTTGTCCTTCTCATGTCTTCTTGGGCATTTACTCTCAAGGCTACTCTGGGTCATTTGACGCTTAAGGTTATGCCTCAAGTCACTCAGTCTTTCCAAGGCATCCTGTTCTGTCTGCCTGAGTCAGTTTGTCCCTGACTCAGTGACATATTGTCATATATTGTCATATTCTCGCTGGTCTCACTGGTCACCAATCACCCTGGCCACACTGATGAACACTAACTGGTCGATTATCTAAACTGTTCCCATGCAGCTGTCTCTGGCCTGCATGACGGGAGGAGCTTTTTACTTACCAATAATATCGCATTTGTAGAATAACGTAAGGGAAGTGTATCAGTTTGCTTTGCTGCTGTAACAAATTACCACCAATTTAGTGGCTTAAAACAATGAAATAGGATAGTGTAGGATTTTGTTCATTAGTTGTGAGTGTGTAAAGCTCTATTTTTATGGATGGCGAGCAATACATTCCTTTCAAATTAAAAAAAAATGCAAAACTATTATTATCTTACAGTTCTGGAGGTCAGAAGTCCGAAGTGGTTCTCACTAGGCTAAAACTGAGCTGTCAGCAATGCTTCATTCCTCCGTGGAGGCCTCCAAAGAGAATCTGTTTTCTCACCTTTTCTAGCCTTAAGAGACCACCCATGTGCCTTCACCCTTCACTCATGTCCCCTTCCTCCCTCTTCGAAACCAGCAGTGTAGCATCTTCAAATCTCTGACTCTGCCTCTCCTGCCTTCTTTCACATGTAAGGACTCTTGTGAGTCCTTATTCATATGGAAATTCTTTCCATCTAAATATTCTTAACTTAATCGCATTTGCAAAGTCCCATTTGTCATGTAAGGTAACACATTCACAGGGATTTCAGATATAGTGAGCCACTGTTCTACCTTCCACAGAAGGACTTCCCCACACCATAACACAAAGGCAAATCCTCTTAGTGGTCCTTAGTTGACTCTTAAATTGTGTCTGGTAATGAACAACTCAGTGCAGGCAAAAATCTCAATTCTTAATTAAATTCCTAACTACTTTGTATTAGTAACACAAAACAAACAAAAACTAGAAGAAAGTAAAGTACATGAAAACAAAGGTAATACTCTTTATTGTATACAAAATACATAATCCCTTGGTTGAAATACCATTAACTTCAACTCAGAGTAATAATCAGAGATAAATAGGTAACTTTTAGTTGAGCCAATACAAGAAAGATCTGCATTTTTATGTGACTTACTTTTTGTTTCTAAAAGTTGAAAATAGGGGTGGCTGGATGGCTCAGTCATTAAGCATCTGCCTTCAGCTCAGGTCATGATCCCAGGGTCCTGGGATCGAGCCCCGCATTGGGCTCCCTGCTCAGCAGGAAGCCTGCTTCTCCCTCTCCCCACTCCACCTGCTTGTGTTCCCTCTCTCACTGTGTCTCTCTCTTTCTGTCAAATAAATAAATAAATAAATAAATAATCTTTTTTAAAAAAAGTTGAAAATATCTCTTGAAGATATTAATATGTATTTCCATTTAGGAAAAATTTATTAAAATAAAACATATAAGCAGAAACAAATGTTTCTGTCTTTAAATTTTCTCCTATTTCTAGTGAGCCAGAGGATTAGAAACATAAACCTATACAAAAATGCTTCCCAGGATTAGTCAGTAAGATAACATAAAAGTTTTAAATATTTGAAATTCTTTCATTACAATAATATTAGAGTTTCAGATTCAACCACTGCTCGATTTGTTTTCTCTGAGCAGCTATTCTTACCATCTGCCCTTTTCTTCAATCATAAAAATCACTTATTGATTGCTTACTTTGTTACCAAGCACTATCCTAAGTGTGGGGACATAAAAAGAATAAAACATGACTTCTGGGGGCACCTGGGTGGCTCAGTTGGTTAATCATCCAACTCTTGATTTCGGCTTAGGTCATGATCTCAGGGTTGTGAGATGGAACCTGCATGGGGCTGCATGCTCAGCAGGGAGTCTGCTTGAGGATTCTCTCTCTCCCTTCCCTTCTGTCCCTCCTCACCCCTATTCTCTCTCTCTCTCAAATGAATAAATAAATATTTTTTAAAAAATGAATAAAGCATGATTTCTAATTTTGAGGGGTTTACAGTTGAGTGTGACATACACTTAGAAAATCAAAGCATTTCTTCACTAATGGATATATGAGGAAAACACCATGAAAACACAGTTAAGGGAGCAACAGACACCCGGCTCCACCTAATGACCTGAGATCATGATCTGAGCTGAAATCAAGAGTCGGTTGCTGGGGTGCCTGGGTGGCTCAGTCGTGAAGTGTCTGCCTTCGGCTCAGGTCATGATCCCAGAGTCCTGGGATCAAGCCCCGCATCGGGCTCCCTGCTCAGCGGGAAGCCTGCTTCTCCCTCTCCCACTCCCCCTGCTTGTGTTCCCTCTCTTGCTGTGTCTCTCTCTGTCAAATAAATAAATAAACTCTTTAAAAAAAAAAAAAAGAGTTGGTTGCTGACTCTGAGCCACCCAGGTGCCCCAGGGAGCATCTAATTCTTAAGCACTTACACCTTAGAAGATAATGTACTTAGTCTCTACTAAAAATGCTATTACTAATAAGATGAAAGAACAATGAATAGAATGACATCTAGATGTATTAGCAAGTAATGGAATAAAGGAATATTTAGGAATGGAAAATGATTTATGAGCACAGATTGCACTAAAATCATTGTTATTGATACCAATATTTTGATTACTAATCTTATCTCTTTTGGGAAAATAAAATTGCTTCTTTGAGCAACAGATTTCTTTTCCAAACGGTTTTTACTAATACCAATCTGGACGAGTGGAAGAATTCATCTTCCAGGACTGAATTTAACTTCCATGTTTAATTTGAACAAATACGAACTACTTATTGGAAAATGAATTTCTTAGTGTAGGTAGTTGCATGCTTGTCTTTACAAATTTGCTGTGGGAATTCTAAGCTAAATGTGCTTTATAACGCATCATTACTCAAAAGCATATAAGAGTGGTCCTACATTTAAACAAAATACAGCATGAAGCAGTTTACATTTGGAGAGGTAAGGAATTATGATAATAATACTCTTATTATTGGAAAAATTATATGTGCCTTCTCTACAAAGAACATACCAAGTCTACTCAACAAGACTGGCAGCAGTCATTTATAACCGTAAGAGCTATTAACTAAATAAGAGAAAACACAAAACCCAGAACAAACTTGTTTAGAAAGCTCAGCTGAGGAAAGTAAATAGAGATGATGGATGGATAGGCAGGCAGTTGTAGATGATAGATATGCAGATGATAGCTAGTAGGTAGGCAGGTGGGTAGGTAGACAGAGTTATATAAATGTAGAAACCAGCCATGAGGTAAAAAAAAAAAGAAGGGCAAAATTTCCTGTTCTAAAAAACCAAGCTCAATTGAGCCCACTAATTTTTCAAAAAATGAATTATTTTATTGTATTATTTTAGTAACTTTTCTACTTTCTCTATTATTATAGAAGAATTTTAACATTGGAAAATGGAGAGAGGACAGAGAAGACAGTAGAAACCCCCTTAACTTCGGGGCGCCTGGGTGACTCAGTCGGTTAAGCATCTGCCTTCGGCTCAGGTTATGATCCCAGGGTCCTGGGATCAAGCCCAGCATCGGCCTCCCTGGTGGGCGGAGAGCCTGCTTCTCCCTCTCCCTCTGCTGCTCCCCCTGCTTGTGCTCTCCCACTCTCTCTGTCAAATAAATAGATAAAAATCTTAAAAAAAAAAAAAAAGAAAGAAACCCCCTTAACCTCATTACCCAGTTATGTCCACTCAAAACATTTACCTGTATTTCCTTCATTGTCTATGCAAATGTAAATTACACATAAACAAAATTAAAATCCTTCTGTAAACTTCATTTTGTAAATTTCTGTTTTTGTTTTAAAATGTGTTATTATATTTCCCACGTCTTTAAGTAGATTTCAAAAATATAACTTTAATAACTGTACTTCTTGTGGATATTCCATGAGTTATTTACCTAATTTCTCAATACTGGACATTAGTATTATTTCCATTTTTTGCTATTAAAAATGTTGCAATAAATAAATTGCAATAATTATACAAAATTTATTTCTTCAGTATAAAATGTCTATTAATAAGAGTGGAATTGCTGGGTCAAAATACCTAGACTTTTTCAAAAGGCTCTAAAAAGGTGTCAGTTTGTTTATTCTAGTCTTCCTCACAACAAATGTAATACATAAGAACTTGTGTATCTTTTTTATTTACATAACTTGAATAATTCTATATGCATTTTTCTATATCTTGTTTTTAACCTAATCATTTTTGGAGATCTTTCCATATCAACACATAAAGTTCAGTTTCACTCTTTTTAGATTAGCATTTATTTTCATTGTATGAATTTCCAAACCTTGACTTATCCCATTCCATCATGAGCAAGTACTTCTGGGAGGGTACAGAAGTTCATCATCAGGTAGAAGATGGGAACTCGTGTGAAAACCAGTGTCAGAGAAGCACTGACCTCCCAGAGAGAAATCGGAGTCTATTGGATGAAAAAAGTATAGGGAAATGGTGGTGGGGTGGGGGGCGTGTGTGGAGGGAGCAGAAGATAAGTAAGAATAAGGAAAAGGGAATAAAAAAGTGAGAGAGAAGACATACAATGAGGTAGCTATGTCAAGGAAGCAAAGACATGACCAGAAAGGCAAAGGAAAGGAGAGCTGGCAATGAAAGAGGAACGTCTGTCTATTATCATTATAATTTTACAATTTATAGTTTAAAATATGCTTTGTGTACAGACTCTCATTTCACAGTAAATTTGTGCAACAAATAAGTAGGACAGTTAATACTGTTGAGCCATATGATATCGAAGCTTCAATTTCTTATGAAATATCTGTATCCTTCATTTTTTTTAAGTTTATTTATTTGTAGTAATCAAATCAGGTACACCCAACGTGGGGTTATCATGACCCCGAGATCAAGAGCTGCATGCGCTTCCAAGACAGCCAGGCGCCCCATCCATGCTTTCTATACGGCAACTCAGACTCGCTTGGCTTTGAGGCATCCTGGGAAATACTAATTAGTTGGAAAGGGAAAGGTGGGGTGTCAGGTACAAGAATGAATAGAATTGATAGGTGCATAGGGCAGGCTGTAGGAGCAGGTTAGCTCCATCCCGATGGTTGGGGAAAACTGAAGCATGTTCCAGATCAGATTAGTACTCAAGGACTTTTGATATAGCTGTTGAGGCATAGCAGCAAGGGAATCTAGGAGGAACTGATAATCAACGTTAGGAGAGCAGTGATCCAGCTGATGAAGAGTTAGAAACTAGTAATTGGAGGCACAGGTCTAAAAGGGCTAGGTCAGCACCGGCTCCACAAGTTGACGGGCATCAATGCAATAGGCTTACATGCAAGGAGAGGTTGCCACGTTAGCAGCAGAAATCAGAAGCTGGGGGCAAGTGGGGGCATCACCCACTCATAGGGATGGACAGATATAGGGAAAGGCTGCAGCATAGAGGACATGTTTATAAGCTCAGCGGTCAGAAGCAGAGACCAGATGGTATCTTTTTTTTTTAAGATTTTATTTTTAAGAAATCTCAACACCCAACGTGGGGCTCAGACTTACAACCCTGAGATCAAGAGTCATATGCTCTACTGACTGAGCCAGCCAGGTGCCCCCCGATGATATCTTTACCATGCCCTGGTGGATGTGGAGATTTTGATCTATTTCTTGTCCTCATCAGGAAGAGCAGAGTTACAAAACTGAGCCAACTGGGGAAGCCAGGGGTTGGCATAAACTTTATTTCTACCTCGAGTGACAACATTTCTTAACAATAAAGTGGGTTATCTTTGATTACAATAGTAGCTAATATTGTTTACTGAGGGCTTACTGCTTAAGTGAATTGTCCCAATGTTATTCTCAAAGCCACCCTTGAGTGGGTACTGCCTTAGATACATTTTACTGAGGCAGATGCTGAAACTCTAAGAGATCATGTTGCTCACTCATCCTATTTATTACCAGCCTTAAGCGTTAGAATTGGAGTCTCAAGTCATCTAATCCCAAACCCTTTGCTTTTAAACATAACTGCCTCCGTTATAGAGAGATTGCATATGTCGAGAAATATGAAGCCATATCCAGATGGAAGTATCTATTACAATCCTTTAACCTAATTATTTTCAGCCATAGTCTGCCAAAGTCTACCTTTTTCCATTCTGTTAGGATGATCTGCTCTTGAACCGGAAAATTAGTTGTTCACTTCGACCATCTATCTAGATTTTACATTCCCACTCCTCCTTCATTCACCCCAAGGTTAGCTGCATGTGGTCACTCATCTTAGCTGCTTTCCCTTTCTTTGTCCTCTTCTCCCAAAGGTCTTTACCTATTATTTGAATCATTTATTTCAGTCTCTCCCTATGGAACATTAACATAATAAAGATTCTTATCACTAAACACAACTTTGAAAATAGCTCTTAGAATTAAATTGGATTATGTTTAATACAATTACCTTCTTTTTTCCCTCTAGGTTTAGTTACAGATTTTTTTTTTTAAGATTTTTATTTATTTATTTGAGAGAGAGAATGAGAGACAGAGAGCACGAGAGGGAAGAGGGTCAGAGGGAGAAGCAGACCCCCCGCTGAGCAGGGAGCCTGATGTGGGACTCGATCCTGGGACTCCAGGATCATGACCTGAGCCGAAGGCAGTCGCTTAACCAACTGAGCCACCCAGGTGCCCAATTACAGATCTTTTTTGTATTTTAGAAGTGTATATTACAATCTCTTATTATTTTTAAGCAATGCAGAATTTCACTGCTGAATTTCAAGTTTTAAAAGTAAGATAATCCTTCAGTTCTAAGAACTTCCTGAACTACCAAAATAGTTGCCATTTCAGCCACTGCAGCCTCCCAGGAGCTTTTATGTAGTATTAATTATGTTTCATGTTTTTTCTTTAATTATTACAGTTTCTGTTCCAATAACTGTAAATTTTCTGGGGTAGTTTTTTAGGCAAAACTTTTTCTTAAACATTTTTTTAAATAAGGAGAGAGTTTCTGTCAGGCAGAAATCAGTCTGGGAATTTACTTTGATGAGCCCACTAATGGTGGGTGAGGCTTTACATGAATACTATTTGGAGATGGAAAGCATCAGAAGAAATCAGAGAGCTTCTCTTCATGAATGAAGGAAAGGCATGTTTTTCCCTCTGTCAAGGAGATGGGAAGAAAGTAAAAAATATATATATATAGTTGAATAGATAGAAGCTAAAAAGAGAGAAAGGATCTAGAAAGACCGTAATTTTGCATGACCCAGCAGTAACAAGATAGGAAACAATAAACAAACAAACATACTTTTACATTATCAACCAAGCAAAAAGTATACAAAAATTAATCTCACAAAGCAGTACCTAAGAGTCTAAGAGCCTTAATAACAAAATATTAAAACTGTATTTTTTTTAAAGATTTTATTTATTTATTTGAGAGAGAGAATGAGATAGAGAGACCATGAGAGTGGGGAGGGTCAGGGGGAGAAGCAGACTCCCTGCTGAGCAGGGAGCCCGATGTGGGACTCAATCCCAGGACTCCAGGATAATGACCTGAGCCGAAGGCAGTCGCTTAACCAACTGAGCCACCCAGGCGCCCAATATTAAAACTGTATTAAAGAGGGGTGCCTGGCTGGCTCAGTAGAGCCTGCAACTCTTGATCTTGGGGTTGTAGGTTCAAGCCCCACGTTGAGTATAGAGATTACTTTAAAATCTTTAGGGTCACCTGGGTGGCTCAGATGGTTAAGCATCTGACTCTTGATTTTGGCTCAGGTCACCATCTCAGGGTTGTGAGATCGAGCCCCCAGTAAGGCTTCATGCTGGGTATGGAGCCTGCTTAAGATTCTCTCTCCCTCTGCCCCTCCCCCACTCTCAAAAAAAAAAAAAAGATCTTAAAAAAAACTGTATTAAGGGCATTTAAAAGGGCCAAAACAACTGTGTAGAAAAAGAAATACAACATGTTTAAGGATGAGACATTTGATAGGAGTTAAGGTAAAAGTGTGTGACTAGGAAGGGGCAGTACAAGGACTTTTCTGAGGTGATGGAACGGTTCTGTGCCCTGATTATGGTAGTGGTCACATGAATCTATAGTTGTAGCAAATTTCCTAGAACTACACCACAAACACACAAAAAGAATACTTGTAAGACTGGTGAAATCCAAATAAGATCTATGGTTAATGGTATATTATCAATGGCACTTTCCTGCTTTTGATAAAATACTGTAAAGCTGGCTGAAAGGTACCCAGGAACTCTGTTATTTCTGCAACTTCTGGGTCTAATATTAAATCAGAATATAAAGTTTTTTAAAAGTCACATTCTAAGAGACTCATAAGTCAAAGAACTCAAAGGAGAAATTAGAAAGTAGTTTGAACTAAAAAAAATGATACGATATACAGTATGGTGACTATAGTTAGTAATACTGTGTTGTATGATTGAAATTTGCTGAGTGCATTTTTTTTTAAAGATTTTATTTATTTATTTGAGAGAGAGAATGAGAGAGAGCACATGAGGGGGGGAGGGTTAGAGGGAGAAGCAGGCT